ACGTACTCACATGACCCCCTTGCCTTGGCCATACCATGGGGGTGTACGTTTGGTGACCCCCTCACCATACCATTGGGGGCATCCCCCATGGGGAAAATATGGATCACTCCACCACTATATCATCCTCATGGGAGTTGGCCTTGGTGACCCCCCACCCCATGATCATACCATGAGGGTGCTCCTTGCCACCCTCATCATCTTCCATACTTAGCCACATTTTACCTCTTCTCGTCTCACCAAGGCGCCATGGGGATGGTGGTCTGGTACTCACCCCCCTTGGTACCTCTTGAGGGTGGTGGTATGATGCTCACTCTCCTTACCACGTCCTGGGGGTGGTATGATGGTGGCCACCCCCCTTGGTACCTCCTGGGGGTAGCTGTATGATGCCCACCCCCCTTATCACGTCCTAGGGGTGGCTCCCATACTCTTTGCCTTAGTCAAATTCGGCCGTCACCCCTATCACCATGTCATGGGGGTAGTTCCAACACTTTGTCAAATTTTGGAATTGATGGCAAGGGTGGCGCGCAAAGTGGCTTTGGCATGGGTGGCATGGGCCAAAAAATCAAATCCCCGTGGCCCATCTTAGTCGATTTTAATTGTTATAATTAAGTTGGCCTTATAAAATCATTTAATTTCTTGTTTTTAACCGATGTGGTACAAGGTTAATTTTTGGTGTAAACCGCTAGTAATTAACCCAAGGTACTAATAACAATATTCTAGAAATAGTAAAACAAATACCACAAGAAACAATTTGACCGACTAGCCTAACTGCATCTAAGTAAGATACACATATCACATATGGGCTAGCTATGGTCACAACTGTGCGTTTCCATTTGCCGACGTGAAATAATCAAACAAACAGACAGACAGACAGTTTAAGTTAACACGAGGGCATTAATCAGTCTGGGCGCGCGAAGTGTACGATCAAATGACGTAATGGAATTGGGCCCGCCCAGATTACGATATGGAAATCTGGACCGTTGGGTCAGGAAAGGCGGGGCCCGCTCCTCTGCTGGGCACATTGAATGATTGGGCCTCTTATCTCTCTCACTGAAACACACAGCAGAGAGAGAGAGAGAGAGAGAGAGAGAGAGAGAGAGAGAGAGAGAGAAGGATGGAATCTGGGGAGGAGCTTCGTTCGGAATCAAAACCACTTACTACTACTACTACTGCTCAACTTGGTAAGCTACTGTCGCCTTCCGTCTTCCCATATGGATTGATTCTCAATATATTTTTGGGATGGATTTGCTTTTCTAATAATATCCTCTTTCTTTCCCCTTTCCCATTGGGCCTTGCTGATTAGAGCAGCTGCATCGGCTGTCTCTTCTTTATTTCAAAGTGACATGGCAATGTCATTTGCCATTTCATGGTTGTAGCAACCCATTTCAATGATGAAATATTTCATTAGATGAAAGAGCAAATGAAATTGCAAGTGGGTAGCAAGCGGGCCCATTTCAATTGTTTAGAGTGTATAATTATTTAGTTATATTGTTTATGTGAATCGGGCCCACCATATGAAATTGGAGATAGATTTCATGGATGTTAAAGAATGAAATTGTAAAAAGTGTATAGGTGGCAGTAGGGGCCACAAATGAAATAGGTAGGCTATTTCATGGTTGATGATGGTCTTAGTGGTCAAAACTGATCAAAGAAAATGACACTCTTCTTTCCCTTCCTTCTTTTGTGGACTACTACTATCAGTGTCACTATTTTTCCATTCTGGGTTGCAATTAAGGGACCGAAAGTTGAATATTTCTCACTCTCATTAAAATCGATATTAAAAAAAAAAAGGTTGAATATATCTTTCTTTCTCATCTGTGATTATTCTTAAAGGGTCTAAATTTTTATTTATTTTAAGCAGACGGGAATCGTTGAACACCTGTTTCCTCTCCATTAATTGAGGATGTATGGGACAAAAATCTCCTAACCAAATCTTTAGACTCATTACCCGTATACATAATTGCAACCGTTATATATTATTTTTCTGCTAGCTTACTTTGTTTGGTTTCGTAATTGATTATTTAATACCCGGTTTGTTTTATGCGTGTCTGTTATAATCCTTCTTCATGGAATATATGGGTATTACAGTTTTTCTCAATATTATGCGTAAACTGAATATTCAACTGTCAACAAACATGCAATAAGAAATGAGGGGGAGCGAGCGTATTATATTAAATTATATAGAGGAGAGAGAGCTAGTTTAGTTTGCATGCGGCTAGTAGCTGGCTGGAATGATGAATCCATCCATGCATTACTAAAGTGGCCTGGGGAGCGTTTGGCAGCACAACTGGAACAGAGTGGGTCGAATGATGGTCGAGTTTTGGAGCATTAGATGATCGCAACGGAATCGGATGGTATATATATGTGGCTGGCGGTAGTTGAGAACATAACAGAACAGAAGAGACGCTGCAGGCTCAAAATTAACCTGCAACCGTCGCGCCCATTCTCCAATAATAATAATCTCCATGATGCTCTCTCTGCAGTACAGTGCCGCCAAATAATTGATGCTCCCTGCCCCCGACACTACGATATTAATATATATTTGTTTATCGTTTCTTCCAGTTTTGATGGAGGCTCTGAATTTTATTTATATGCAACACACAGACCCATACACGCGACCGATTTTATTTATGTACAGTGTGCTTATACAATTTTCTCTCGTCTCCAGTTTTGTCACCTGTCGGTGATAAAAATACAAGAGAGTTGTCGGAAGATATAGATTGCCGAGGAGTTGGAAATTGTTTGGACTGAAATGGCACGAGCACGACCCTGATTGGCTAGGGTTGGGGGATGGGCTACTGGGAGGTTGGCACGATATGGTCTAACCACCATGCGCAACGAGGGTTAGAACAGTCCTCTCGTTTGGGATGTGCTAGGCTAGTAGCTAGAAGAATCTCATGGTCACCGGAGGACTCCCCTCGGGGCTCGGTCATCATAGTGTTCGGGGATTGAACCTGAGACCTTAAGGTCGTCCATTCATGACTTTCAACTCTCATCGGTAAGAAATTCTAAAAAATACAGTATCAACGCAAGTCAACTGAGGTAATTATGGGAGAAAGGAGGCTTGAGGGATAATTTTTTTGAAGGCAACATTCCATAGTGGAATGGCTTCCGACATCACCGATCGGATTTTGGATTGACCGGAAGCCCCTTGCTTGGGGCTTGAGCCTCCTTATACGGGGCCCTTCGTAAGTGGGTTTGGGCACAAGACGCCTTGTGGTGGGATTAGGCCAATTGATAACGTAGCAGTTTGTCAAATTAGGCGGATAAACCCATATCCCAATAATAAGTTTGATGTAATTCAAAACAAATGGTATGTTTGAGTAAAATACAAAATAAACAAACATATTATTGTATCCATGACACTTCCAAGTTAATATGACATTAAATTTATGAAAACTATACAAAACATTACATAAAAAGAGGGTCCAAAATAATATAATTTACATGTCATCATTCAACTTGTGCAAACTAAAAGCAACCGAATTTATTGAAACTAAGGCGTCGTTTGATTCATGGATTTAAAATGAGGGTTTTTTAATTTAAAAACTCAAGAATTTATCAAGGATTTGAGGCATTATGAATTTGTAACAATCTTGTGTTTGTTGAGATGTTTATCATGGATTTAAGGGTTTGAGATTTAGAACTTAACGTCCAAAATTACCATACTATCCTTTTTGTATTTGTTTGTCATGTATATGATATGTACACAAAACAAGGAAAATGGATGTGTACTAATAAGCATAATGTTGTCACAAGGACAATAATAATAAATGAGAATATTTCGTTTAACTTTTAACTTAACATATATCGATTACCAATGTTTTGTCCTCCTTTCAAAAGTAACATATAACAAGAAAGAATTGGGTAATGTCTATTTTTTATCAAAATCTTTTTCAGATTCTTTTATATTATCCAAACCTATTAAAATGCTATTAATTAGCCAAAATTTTCATAATGCATCAAAATATTAGCCATTTTTACGTTATCGTTAATAATTTTGTAACTCTTTTCTTAGTTAAAATACTAAATTTTGCAATGTTGACTTTTATGTGTCTCATTCAAGTCAGCATCATGTTGCCAAGTCAATATTAATATCAAAATTGATAACTGAAAGTTACCATTTGGTTTTTTTTACCAGTTTGAATAATATAAAAGAATCTGAAAAAGTTTGGATAAATAATAGACATTGCTCAAAGAATTACACATTACATGAAAAGGTCAAAGGAAACTAGAACACAAGAAACAGTATAAAAATTCTAACTCATGCTTGCACATTAAAATTGAATATATTTATATTATGGTTCAGGCTAGCGTACGCTAGTCGTACATTGTAGGCCCGTCGAGTTTTACTATTTAGAGCAGGAATTAACCGAAATTTTGGGCATGATACTATATCATAACCTTTAATGGATAAACCCGAGTCCTTAATTCTCTAACCGAAGCCACGAGATTCATTTAATCCAAAAAATAATAACCGATGGTTCTGATTCAGTGAAATATATTTAAGTGCAAAAACCAAGTGCGAACACAGGCCTTTGCCATATATTATTTATTCGTTGTTAATTAATTGATTATTTATAATTATAATTGGTAAATGTGAGGGCAAACTAGAAATTTTAAAAATTTAAAAATTTATGACATATTACAAATCACACATCAATATGTGAGATTTACAAATTTGTGGGGTTCACGAATTTGAACTCTTATAATCCGTGGCCCCACGAATTTGATCTCTAAAATAAATGAATGCAAACGATAATTTTTTTTCAAATCCATCTATCATCAAAATCCACAAAGCAAACGAACCTAAAAGTGATTTTTTTCATTAACATATCCTCTTCACTTCTTCTTTGATTCCTGGCGGCGGGGATATACGGAGGATGTTCGGTCCTACTTTTCTTCCCGAGTGATGGGAGGGAGCGGGGAAGGAAATAGAGTAGGTTTGGCTAAATTTAGGACGATTCTTTTTCTGAATTTTGGCGACCAATATGATTTCCGTTGAAAATGATGACATGGAATGGAAAACCGAAAACGTAATTGGAGGGAGATTGGACTCAAATCGCCATTTGAGAGAGGTCAACAGCCCAGGTGTCAGATAGACATTGAATACGAAGAACAGAAAGAAGGATTGTTTCGCGGGGTGGGACTTGGGAGGGGAAATCAGTTCACCAATCAAATAAACAGGAAACCGGTAAGCGATGCCGCGAGTCCATCAATGCTTGGCTATGGTGATTCACGAGAGGAGGGCAAACAGGGTATTTTGCTGAAGGATAGAGAACTGGCCATGGCGGCGGCTGCGGCTACTGCTGTCCGGAACCCCAAAATTCTGTTCCTCATCTGGTCACTCTGCACCATCTTCTTCTTCTCCCTTCTCCAGATGGCTATCAAGAATTCTGCTTCCCCAGGTAACTGTATTAATGTTTATCTCTACTTTCCTACTTCTTCAATGTGATATTGCCTTTGATCAATCGTCCAATCGTGCTCTCCCATGATCGATTTTCACTCCCAAAGCTGGAATTTGCATTTCCCAAATCGTCAATTTCCGTGGCTGTTGATTTCCAGTACTAATTAAAACTTGAATCATCTTAGCTGACGGGTCTATTTATGGTGTCTTTTGGCAGGGTAAACTCCATGACTAGGTTTTAGGGTTGTTGGGTTAAGCTTCAACTTCAGAAAGTTGATTACTTTCAATCTTTTTCTCTGTATTCTTACTACCCTCAAATGCTTGCAAGAAGAAACAGTATAAGCATTGGATAGATATCATATCAGCTATAGATTCTTTTGTCCCGCCACTGAAAGGCTAGATAATAAGTGTTGATGTGCCACTACGAAGATGGATATAGACTTTGAGGGGGGGACTATTTTCAGATTCTCATATTGCATATAACGAGCAAAGGTCAAGGCTGTATGGTAAAATGGCAAGGGATTTGGATGAGAAAGGAACAGCCTTTCTTAAACATGGAGAAACGTCTCAAGCATTATCCCTTTCGAATATTTTTACACTGAAAGATGGATCAGTTACTCCTGTAAGGTAACCATTGCTGAGGTAATAGCCGGACTGTCTATGTTCATTTTTGCAGTGTCATTAATGGCTTTTTCTTGTGTTTTGTATCTAAGTCCACAGTATTCAGTGCCCATCTCGTAAGTAGCATATAGAGCAACTTACTTACTGTACCTTTTCCCCTCTTTTTCCCTCCTGTTTCAACCATTGCCACTAAACATAGCATAGACCCTGAGTGATATCGGGAAAGCATCGCCTGTTCAAAATGAATATACAAAGTTTCTAGATGCATCAGCTTATTTGATGACATTGTAGATGGCATCTGCAATTGAGATCTCCTGTTTGTTAGCTATTTTAAGCTTTTTAACTTTGCTGAAGGACTCCTAGTTATGTCAGCAGGTGAAAGCATCTTCTGATTTCTATACTGTTAAGGCTTCATACCTTTCACTGTGAAGAAAGTACTAACTAGGCGTGATATGTCTACAGAAATGCCAGGACCTCACTTTCTGGGTTCTTTCCTATGCTGTTGGTTTCGTATAACCTTATTTGGAAGAGCAATGTCTACTGGCCTGTTTCTTGGGCGAATGATTAAATTCACAATCCATGTGTAAATAAATTAGCTTAAATGGTTGAATTAGTCGGATTTTCCTGTCCAAATCTGGTCTGAAGTCTTTTTTAGAAGCTCTTCCATCTTTAAACTTGAATATGACAAGTATACTAGATGAAAAGTTTATCGGATTGTTCCAGGTTGTTATTTCATATCATACCTTAATTTTTTTGTTTCAGATTGAAACTTGAATATTATCTAATACGGCGAATGGAAACAATTTTATTGGTCTTGTTACATGCATACTACTATCTCATTCAATGTATTGAAGAATCGCGTTATGAACTTCCATTGAATTCCATTTCTTCCTTACTACGCTGTCAATCTTGTTTGTTACTAACAGCAGTTACTAGTGACATGCCATAGGGAGGCTGTTAAACTTGTCTTTGCTCCATATTTTGATAAAGGTTACCGACAATTTCTTCTACCTCTGTTTATTGTTAGTTGGCGTATAACTCTTAACTTATGTGCTGAAATTTATCTCAAGAACATGTGTACTGTTATATCTCTGGTTTCTTCTATGTCACTTTCTGCTTGTTAATGATGTCTAACTCACATGTTTTCTGCTCAGCGATTTGGCTTCAGAACTCTACGGTGTTCCAGTTCAGCATGTTTTATGCTCCACATCACATTACAACTGTTCCTGCCACTGAATCCCAGGTAAAAACTACCATTGAGCTGCATCTTTTCCCCCTTCTTTTTTACCATTATCCTTTTACCACAGAATCATTTAATATCTGTACTAGTATCGGGTGTTAGATTGAAGCTGAAGCAGCTGCTGTTAGAACTGCTGTTGAGACCTTTTGCCCTTTCAAAATAGTCTTGGACAGAGTAGTTTTGACTTCAACGGGTGTGCTTTTGGGATGCTGGCAGGTCAGTCACAGTCTCATCCTTCTGTCTCTTGGTCCTTGCTTCTAACTTAGTTTACAGCATATAGATGTGGTTTAGTCTCCTTTCCTTTTCCCTCGGATTTTATGATTTCGACTGCACAAGCAAGTTTACTGCAAAAAGCTTAGTAAAGTAGCTTGTTTCTCATCATGTTCAGTACATAATTTTGTTCAGTGGGCACTTCTACTTCCACCTTTTTCAGGTGACTGCTGGTGCAGATCCTGCAACTATTCGTGCTACATTGAGAAGCGCGTTTCAGCGTTCCCCAGACAAGCAACTTGTAAGTTAATCAAGCTGATTGTTGAGATTGCTACATGCCATGAAAAGCTTGACTAATACGGAGTTGTTTGCTGCACTGCAGTATGACACCGCTATTCTTCACACATCATTTGCGAGACTCCCTGGAAACCCAACGACTCCAAGTCTCCAACCGAGGTAAGCACGCAATTTAGTTGTTAAACAAGTAATATGGTATACAATATTCCGCTGATTGTCATGTAGCTTGCACTCCTCTGATAAAATGCCTTTTTCCCCAGAACAACGAGAAGATTCCCGATGATGCAATGCAGCTTTTCCACGAGCTAGTTGCGAAACTGAACAACAAACTCCACGGCTCCCGAGTAATGTAGCTTATACATTTGTCCAAGAGCACACTTGTCATCAGGCACAGTGAGCAACCCCCACATGAAACTTAAGCCTGTGACAATGACAAATGCAGGCAGTCGGAGCTGGGATATGTGGAAAAATATGATGTATTGGCTCTCGCATTGGATGGAAGGATGAAGGTGAGAAGGTTCCTGTTTGGCTGCAAGCCAAAGTGAAAAGAGCACAACTTCAGATTGGTTCTGCTTCATGGATGGATATATGTACATGTAAAGAGCCAAAATTTCGAGGTTTTTGCTGATGAGTTGTTGCTTATTAGAGCTGTTAGGTAACAAGGCGGTTTAGGAATAGTAGTAATATAACCGTGGTACGCTTGGAGATGTTGAAGGGTAGGTTAGCTTGCTAACTCCTCTAAGAGATTGAGATGAGATAGCATGATTATCCCTAAAGCGTTGGAAAAATGACACTCCCTATTAACTACTAGATTCGAACCCGGGCCGCTGGCCGAAAGCATTATTTCAAACATATTAGCAATAATTGTTATTGTATGAAGCAAGCTATATTTTTATTGGTACAAAAAAATTAAAAAATTCGAACTACTCAATTAATGAAAAAAATAAAAAAGAACATACATCATAACGTTTTTTTATAAGCTAACCGTTCATCAAAAGAAGTACCATACCCGTTGGCAGGATGCATTATTTCAAACACTTAAGCCACAATTGTAATTGTATTTCAAACACTTAAAGCACAATTGTAATTGTACGAAGCAAGATATATTTTATTGATATAAAAGTCAAAAATTTGAACTATTCAATTAATGGAAAAATAAAAAAGGACTTACCTGATAGAGTTTTCTGATATGCTAACCGGTTTATCAACTGAAGCTTTTACTGAAACTAAAACATAGAACACATGGAAAGGAACTAACTATTAATTTTTTTTTTATCAAACTCACTTCGATCTAGTTCTTGTTGTAAGAATTGTTGTTATTGTTCTTTAAGACTTCTTTCATATTGCTTCACCACATGTATCATCATCTTTGACAATAATTGTAGTTTCAAATTCATCACTGAAACCTCTATGTCCAGCATCAATAGTCTATCCCTTCTACTCAACAACGTCACTACTCACTATCACTGTTACCGAATTCATTACTCCACCATCAACAGACTTTGTTCTTCACTTTCATTTCATCAAATTTTAATTAAAGATTCTTCATTGGCGTAGCTACTAACCCAAGAGTTTAAAATCCCACACATTTTGTTTTCAAATGAAAGGTTAAAATATTTTATTTGGACATATTTACTATCAATGAGTAAAAATAGTTAGAAATAAGCATGACTGAACATCGGTGAATTTATGAAAATAAAATGGGTAGAAAATTTAGGAAAACTTGGGTTTCTTTTATAGGATTCATTATAAAAAAGCTCCACATATGCCAAAGGTAACATAGCCTAGTGGTGAAACCACTGGTCCAATTGAGCTCTGGATGTGAGAGGTCCTGAGTTCGATTCCCAGTGGCGCCACTTGAGCGTTCCCGGCGGCACCCTTGGTATCGGAGGCGAAGCCTCCCCGATGTTGGTAGCAGAAAGCCACGGTTAGTATGCAGGTACCCCCAGTGGTTTAGTAGGCCCCGCTGTCGCTCAAGCGACACGTGGGGCTGAGGTTCCCTGGGTTATCAAATAAATAAAAAAGCTCCACAGCAGACGTTATAAATAAACTAACATATTGACGAAAATAGGAATCTATTATTATATATTTAATGTTGCTGGTCAATAATATCTCTGTGATGTTATTATTTATGCTTTAATAGCTTCGTTTTTTATTGTTGTATCTTGTATGAAATATTATTGATTTAGGAGTCTAAAAGTATTTTATTTTAATAATCTAAATGACAAAAATATCCTTCCTACAAACTTTCATAAGGCTGGAAATTTTGAATAGAGTATGTTTTGATGGAGAATCTCCATATAGTAATGCTAGGATAGACTTTTAAGGTAATTGATTTGGGTTACATTTAATAATCTGTCTGAATTAAAAACTCATATTAATTATTTTTCCTTTTTCAGTGCAATGATTGTTCTATCAGTGCAATGGTATCAGCGTATAGATGCAATGGTAGTTCAAAAAAATGAACGTAATTATTAATATGAGTTCAGTGTACAAGTGCAATGATAGTTGTATCAGTGCAATGGTAGTTCAAAAAAAGGAATGTAATTAATATGATTTTTTAATTCCCAAAAATTATTAAATGCAACATGAATTTAATATCATATTAACTATAATTAATAGGGGGTGTCATTTTTCCAACCCCATAGAGGGGTTAGCAAGCTAACCGATCTCTTAAAAACTCATATTAATTACATTCATTTTTTTGAACTACCTGTACATTCCTTTTTTTGAACTACCAGTGCACTGAAAAAAGGAAAAAGTAATTAATATGAGTTTTTAATTCAGACATTATTAAATGCAACACAAATTAATTACCTTAAAGCCTATAAGTAATAGTGGGTGTCATTTTTCCTACCCATTTAGTGATAGTCATGCTATCACACCTAGGGGTGGAAATTGGGGTGAGTGTAGTTACCCGCACCACATTTTGCGGGTAACCATACCCACAAATATAGAATTATGCTACCCACTGCGGGTTGGTGCGGATTAGTTGTGGATACCCACAAAAATTTCACATTAAATATAATAGTATGGTAATTAAATAGTGATGTTGTGTTTCTTCTCAAACAAAAACAAAAACATACATAAAAGAAAGTTAATAAAGTGTTAAATAAATTATAAATCTCGAATACAATAGGTTAGTTAGTATAAATCCATAAGAGATGGATTTGGAAAGAGGTTTGAAGATAACGGAGAGGCGAAGTGATTTGTTACCAGACAAACATCGTTGCATGTCACGGCTCCTCCGATAGCAACAACAACAAAACACAAAAGTGGCTCGATAAGTGGAGGCGCCCGCTTTTAATGAATCGATTATTCTCAACTCTCGATTATAGTATTGTATTGTTTGTAGTTGGTTGCATGTTGTGTTGTTCGTGAGTTTGTGAAGAAATGGAGATGAGTTTGGGTATCAGACTAATCTTTATTGATTATTCCCCTCTTTTAACGAATTGATTAATTTATCTGACTATATCTACGGACTTGATTTTGTTATAAAATAAACATATACCACACGGACAATGCTTATTTGATAAAAGTATCTCACATGGAGATTGCGTATTGACTTGGTTTTGTTTTATAGAATAAGTATGTATTTGATTTTGGTAGCTACTTTAATTCTTAGTCTTTCAAGTTTCACAAACTAATATAACTAATGTGGTTGATGTGGATTTTGTCGGTAAATCGTCGTGGGTAGTGGTTAACCACTAACCACAAAAAATAATATTTTGCTACACACCCCCAACCCACTATCCACAAGTTGTGGGTATGGATATCCACAAAGTGTGCGGTTTGGTGCGGTTTGCGCCCCTAATCACACCCACTCGGATAATTCATAAGCAACTTCTCTTTAGAATTCAATTTGTACACCACAGGATTGAAACAAATATTGAGTAAATTAATACAAATGACGAATGATATTACACCACATTGCATATGATAATGAAATGGCTTTAACATTAGTAAATAAAATATGTTGAATTACATATCCTCATTTATCAAAAGAATGGTGGCTGAGAGACACATCAGAGGCCTTAAGCTCAACCCAAGGTGCCCATTGCTCACTCATAATTGTCTCTTCATTCTTCACTAATTATTTGGTTATCTTTGAAGACGCCTCCATGCATGAAACAAAAAGAATGGTGTTTTTTTCACGAGGGGATTTTGTATTGCATTATGAATGATCGGTTATAGAGAGACACAAAAATATACTGGATTAAAAATAAGAGTAAAGCGTCGCAGAGCAATCGATTGAAAACCAACCGTGCTAGTTAGAATCATCGATGAAGAGCGAAATCAACCACCTAAAGGATTAGAACACTTGATCCAAATACAATACAGCCAAAATCCCTCTTGTTTCCAAACCAAACAAAGTAGCATAAAGAACAACATCAACACATCCGATCACTGCGAAGTCCAGGCTATTGAGCACATCAATGTCACTTGCCGCCTCCCAGGCATTGCACAACGACAACCATCACACTGAATTGCAAGAACGAGATTACATGGCAGTGGACAAGAAAGTGAAGCGGATTGCTCCGAGCTACAGAGGCAGAGGGAGTCGAGGCAAAGAGATCGGGATCAAGAATTAAAATCTACAGGAGTAACAAAACTCCAAGGAAACACCAAGCCCCAAGCGCAACAATAGGCGAAGACTCTATTCTCCATGATTCGCCGACTGACCGAGACACACAAGCAACCAGGGCAAGTCGGAGGGGAAAGTAGTGAATGTCTTCACCTAAACAATGAAGTGTTAGAAACCCGGCCATTGAGGGTTTCTTTTATTATTAGCATGATTATTAAATATGAAATATACACTTGTGTAGCCAAAACTTTCACGGTTGTGCTAATAATAGCCAAATTTGGAGAAATACCACTTATAGCCAATTTCGTCACATTCTTTAACGGTGTTAACATTAAATCTGGCTGGACAAACGGTGGTGCTTACGCGGTAAACACTTATTTCCTTATTCCTCTATAATTATCCACGTGGATAATGATTAATTTAAGTTAAAAAATGACCAACTAAAATTTCTAAACCACTTATTTGACCTTTCGACCCTTATCTTTTTTTTCTTCGAATCCCCAACCCTTCGCCTGTGGAGGGCGACGAAGACCGATCGTCCAAAACCGACGGACGGTCTATCTCTGACGACCATCGTACCCCTGATTTTCCTCCATCCATCATCTATCTACCCCCCCCCCCTCCTCTAGTCCCGATTCACCTCTTGTCATCGATCTACCCTTCTCGCCCCTTTCCTCGATGAAGATTCACATGCATCCGATGAGTTGACCAACCCGCGATGAGCTTTGGCCGACTCCTCCCAAGCTTCATTTCCGCTAACGACCTCAAAATCGAACCATAGGAAACACGTGGCTGTTTCTTCGAAGAAACCCTAATCGCACAGAATAGGGGGATTTCTGAGGTCCGCCGTCTGTAGCCACTGGTGAGAAAAGCTTTTGAACATCGTACTTGTTGGTGTTGATTTCGGATGGAAAGTTCTTATAGAAGTGTCTTTCTCTTCCTTTTTTGGTTGGTAGGGAGGTGTAAAGAGAGCAAAAGCGACATGACAGAAGAACAAGGGGACCACTCGATTGAATCCTACACCGACTTTGCCCACAAATCTGATGGTGAGTAGCTCAATCTTCTGGGTAGGATTGTCATTACCTTTGGTTACGAAAACCCTAGAATTGAATAATGTAAATCGTTGCTATTTTCGAATTGTTTGTTAGTGTGTGATTAAAAATTGTAAACTTAAGCTATTGATGGGGATAGTGGTGATTAAAAAATTGATTAATTGTCTTTACAGATGGCTGATTCATGCGACGAGGCTTTTGGAGAGAATGATCAACGCGATGCTCAGGAAAATCCATATGCT